AAATCCTGTTGGCAATCTACTTTCTCGGGAGATGCTTTACGATCTTTTGGACTTTGCTCGAGAGAAGAACATCCATATTATATCAGATGAAATATTTGCGGGGTCTATGTATGGCAAAGAGGAGTTTGTCAGCATGGCTGAAGTTCTTGACTCAGAGGATTCTGATAAAAGCAGGGTTCATATAGTTTATGGGCTATCAAAGGACCTCTCTCTCCCAGGATTTAGGGTTGGAATGATCTATTCATTTAATGAGAATGTTTTAGCTGCTGCTAGAAAATTAACTAGGTTTTCTTCTATTTCTGCTCCAACCCAAAGGTTACTAGTTTCAATGCTTTCGGATACAAGATTCATTGAGGAATACATTGAGACCAATAAAAAGAGGATACAAAATATGCATGATTTGTTTGTGGCTGGTCTGCAAGAGTTAGGTATTAATTGTGCTGATAGCAGTGCTGGCTTGTATTGTTGGGCTGATATGAGCAAGTTAACCCCCACTTACAGTGAGAAAGGCGAACTTGAGCTATGGGATATGCTATTGAATGTGGCTAAGATCAATGTAACTCCTGGTTCAGCTTGCCACTGCATAGAACCAGGATGGTTCCGGTGTTGTTTTACTACCTTAGCTCTGGAGGACATTCCTGTGGTTATGGGACGGATTCGAGAAGTTGCTGAAATCTGTACACAATCCAGTTGAAAATACTATAAATCACATTTGAGCTATTTGCTTTGATCACTGGTAGGATTTCTCTGTCATAGATATTTCTTTTGCAACTAAACAAGATGATGTGGGCATGCACAATATCTATGTTGGATCTTCAACACAGATTTGACTCTGTTGATGTTCTTGCAGCGTAATAATAACATTGATACATTCCAGGCTTGTAAATTATTTACATCCTAATTTTCTGAAGCCAGAAACTGATTTGGAAGCTTCATGGGTTGTATTGAACAGCAAAGCCGATTGGGCCCCTATTCTACAAGAATTTGAGTCTTGGCTGGAACTTCTTCCATTGTAATCCTTCAATCAGTTTTATGCCAGTTCCAAAGATGCAGCATCCGGGAGCTCTTTCCTTAAGAAATTCCTGTCATAGTTTCATTCAGGCAAGAGTAGAATGTCATTAGTAGATAGTTAGAATTACAACTTTCTGTTTCTACGGTAGTGCCAAAAGGTGATAATATTGGTTTTTTGGACAAAAGAAATGAAAGAAGACAATTTGAAATGCAAATTTTGGCTCTTTTACTTTAATGAAAAAGCAGTTTTGTTCTAGACATACTACCTAGTTATTCTAAAGCAGCTTAATCAGGCAATAGTAATGGTGAAACATGGAGCAGGAAATTTAGAATTACCATTGATAGATGCTGCTCTCTCATTAGAACAGCCTTTCTTTGATAACTCATCCTCCTGCTCAGCATTATCAGCTCTCCAAGTGTTGGTGGCCTCCTTATGACAACAGTGTTATTACTCTCACGACCAAAATCATCTTGAGCCTGAGATCCCTGGTGGTTGGGGTACCTGGCCTTTTCAAGGAAACCAGAATTAGGCGGAAGCAATGGAAACAGGCATTCCAGGAAAGAAGCACCCACAAGGCTTGAAGTGCCAGTTGCATAGCTGCTTGTACTACTTTCAGTTTCTGATGCTGGCGAGGAAGGTGTTTCTGGATGGTCACTGCTGTTATCTGCATGGTAAGTTTTCTGCACTGGAACAGCAGTGCAAATCGCTGTTGATGCTACAAGGCAATTCGCTAGGAGGGATGGAGCTGAGCTAAAGGAATCATCTGTCTCAAAACCAACTGCTTCAAGATCCATTTCAGGTACCACGTCTTGTTCATCACTGCCATCACCTCCGTCATCATTGTTGTTGTAGCCATTAAAATAGGCTGGAGTGTATACTGGAGGTGGAGGTAGAGTCATGAGATCTGCTGATAGGGGCACGGCTGCTGGTTCTACTGGAGGCTGGGAGAAGCCCGGCAATGGTGTACCGGGCTTTTCCTCCCAATTAAAGGGAACTGAGGCTATAAGCTTGATTGGAGTTTGAGGTGGTAAAGTTGGTGTAACTGAAGAAACCCCTGGTTTCCAATCTTTCTTTGCTATTCCCGGCCTCACTTCCCAAAGGAATGGAACTGAAGGTGGCAACCTGATTTTCCTTTTGTTAGAATGCTCTGTGGCTTCCTTCTCTGCCATTCTGAAATAGCTCCAATGGTCCCTTGTGCGTTTCGTCTTTGGTGCCACAATATTTCCTATATATTGTTGGTGCTAAGTGGATTAGAAGGTTGCTGGCAAAACCCAACCTCCGAACATGACCATTCCTGAAGCTTGAAAAGGTTAGGCTCACCTGCTCCCACTCTACCTTGTGTCGAAGGAGATTTGAGAATCGAAGCATCGTAATTATTGGATTTCGTAGGCAAACCTCTCTCAACGTGGTCGTGACTAAAATTTATTAGCATTATGAGTAAATAGTGACTTCTTTTCAGTTATGTGTTTAAAAACATTAATTTAAGAATAAGGTGAAAGATGGCCGAAAAAAGAACTAACGAAAATAGAAAGGTTTCAAAAGCCACAAGACAGGTGGGCTCCGAGAACTTGGGGCAGAAATAGGCTGGTCAGAGCTTGGACTAATTTCAAATGGACCAACCCGGGCTTTTTCATGTACTTTTGAGTCTTCATCATGAGTATTGTCTACGTTATGAAGAGAAAATATGCTTAAAAAACTTTAGTCCGCAGTAATTAGAGAGGTTATCGATGCGAAGAGCACTATTTGTTATTCCCGCTACTACCAATAAAGCAGACCTCTCCCAATCGCTAATAAACTCCGATAGCTTCAAGATTCACCGCAGGAGAGAAAACCTACAAAAGCTTGGCTAATTTAAGAAATAGAAAAGAAAATAGACGAGATGGAGCCAGTGGAGAGCATGGATCGAAAACTCTGCGCCAGGGGTGCAGCTTCTATGATCAGCAGAGAGAACCAATCTGTGCTCCCAATGCTACAAATATCTAAGTGAGAGTTCCACAACCACAAACCCAACGGGGAAACCCTTGATCCCAACGACCGACCATCAGCCTCCTCAAACCTCTTGTTTTATGTTCCTCCTTAACCCTTCGTATGATATAGTCGACTTTTATCTGTAGTTATACTGATGCAAAATAATATTTCCTAATAAGTGTAATGATTACGTTGTAGTTTACTTTATCTTTATAGATCCTAGACATATCTTCGTGCCACCTGTGTCTTAATGTTGATAATTTGATACTCTCTCCAATCCTAATTTAATTATTGTTTGGGGCATTGGATTTCTCGCGGGCTGGGCCATGGCGGGGCTACGAATGCTACCTCCTTGGGTATGACGGCAAGCTGGACTAAACCTTTTGTAACCACTCGTCTGACGTTTGATTTTGCAAAACCTGTTGAGTTGTGTGGCTGTTCCGCTACCCACAGCCTATTAAGGCCATGGTGGTTTGCGGTTCTTCTGCCGTGCTCTGTGTACTGTTTCGAAAACTTCCCTAAACTGTTACGATATGCCCCACTCTGGTCAAAATCTTTGCTTACCAAAGGCCTAGCCGTGATTGCGGCTTTTGCTTTGCTTGTCAGGGACTTCCTTTATACGCGCATGCCATCTGCTGCTTTGTTGTGCTGTTTTGCCTAGTTATGCTGACATATGGCTGAAACTTAGCCAATTTGACATGGTTGTACAATTGAGTTTGAAGTGAATCAAAGCCAGATTAGTTACCCTGCAGGGCCAAGCGCAGGGAGCTGGCCTGGCTGCCACGAATTGCCGCCTTCAATCCCACAGGCTGCTTACGCACTAGGAGCAAAACCTCAGGACCAGGACCAATGTAGGCGTCCAGGAGTTGTCAAAAACCTGCCCTATTTGGGCAGGGGATTGTGCACAGCAATTCCTCGTGGCCTGGCTGTGGGCCACGCTGCCCAAGAGGGTGGCCCGCTTATTGTTGGGCTGAAGACCAGGGGAGCACACCATCTGGTCAGCCTTTCCTCTTGAGAGCAGCCAGCTCGGGTCAGTTGTGCATTTGTGACCATGTTGCAACGGAGGGCTGCATGGTGGCTCAAGGCGAGAAAAGCAAACGAGTGACAGTAGCCACTGAATAATGTTTAAGATCGTAAACATGAAGGACAAGAAGAAGAGAAGATAGAGAATGTACAAGGGAATAAAGGAGAGAAGAAGAGGAGAGAAAGAGAAGGAAAGCTGGTCGACCGCTGGGTCTGTGAACACTTCCCAAATCTGTCGTGTGATCTAAGGGTGGCGGATCGGGTGACTGCTCAATGTACCTGCTCCACCTGCTGTGGGTGAGGTTGCTGCGGAAGTGCAGGCCGCTGCTGTGTCCGCCCCAGCCAGCAGCTGTCCTTCTGGTGATTGGTCCATCTCTGAGGCGACACTATGGCCGCCAGCAAAAACCAGTGCTCGGAGGTCTGTTGAACAAGGACGTGGCAGTTTGAGACTTGCCAGGGGACCAAGTAATTGCGGGCATTCTTTGCTGCTCACGGCTGTCGTCGTAACGTTGAGTGTGTGCCACCACGATGAGTTGGCAGAGTTTCAGCAAGGGGAGTTACGAAAATCCCCATTGCTGCGTTTGTACCGCGGGGAAGAAGTGGAACACCTAATATCACAGCGTGCGCCGTGAGGTCTCAAACATTCCTCGATTCTGGGCCTTGCAAGAGAGGAAGCTGTTCATCGTGGCAAGATGTCATTGGATGGATTCAGCTATAGCTTAGCTAAACTGATGAAAGGAGTGAAACCTCTGACAATCCTCAATTGACAATGAATCACGTGTTAACAGTTCCAAACTTTGCAAAGTTATTACATGGCTATATTTCAAAGATTATTGAATCAGAGGTTGATGTTTTGAAACCAGTCATCTCCAATCGATCGAGTAGATGGATTTTCTATTTGAATTCAATTCATCTCTGCACCCCAATCAGGAGCATTTACGCTTCACTCGGCACATTGCAAGCAGCGTTCCTATCCTGAGCAACATGCGTCAAGTCCTTCCTGGCTCCCAATTAACCCATGTCAAAGGACTCTAGGCTGCGTGGTTGGGGTAGACCGGGGGAGGCAGGTAGTGGTGTTGTTAGAATGGAAAACACGCAGGGGGACGTCTTAGGACGTTCCGGTACGTTCCGGTACCCGCCTAACGGCAAGGTTAGCATAAGTTGGCATTGTGTCGCGCGTGTTGCACCCGTCCTTCAATTGATGATAACTATTTACTCTACACATAACTACGTTAATGAAGCTAGTATAAATTTGAATCGTGATGTTTATTAAACTTAGTCTTTTATATGTGTCTTGTGATATGAGTCAACCTCTTCATCCTCACCGCGTCCCTCCTATACTAAATTCTACCATTATGTCTCATGTTAATAATAGTAATGGCAGTGCTGGCTTTACCTTTGGCGCGACTAATAATTCTGGTGGTGCTAGTTTGGCAAGCACAAAGAACAGGTGCAACAGCTGCAACAAAGCGGGTTGGGCTAAATGGGTTTACGTGTAGGTGTGGGAATCTGTTTTGTGGAAAACACAGATACCCTGAAGAACATGAATGTTGTGTTGATCTAAAGGCAATTGGTCGCGAGGCTTTGGTCAAGGAAAACCCGGATTGCAAAGGTGATAAATTGCAGTTTAGGATTTAGTTTACGTGCTTTATATCTAATGTGTGCGTGTGTTCTCTGAGTGTACTTTGATTTTTTTTTTTTTAATAGTCGGGCTACACAACCTGGTTAGTTATCCCCTCCCGTTATCTTAACCCCAAATCTGATTTTCGACGAAAGCAAGAGTTGAGTCCTAGGCATTACTGCTGGAGTTTAGGGATACTGTAATACTAACAATTGCCAAGGATCAGATGGAGAACTCTGTCTTCTCCAATGCTGCTTTCTTGCATGATCAAAACTTACTTGAAGATTATGAATTTAGTTGGGTAATTATGTTTTGGTCAGTCCTTGCTTACTTTGTCTCCAAATAAGGGAGAGGTTGGCATATCGTAGGTGCGCATATACTTTCCAGGGAGTACTCTGTCCTTTCAGTGAAAGCAAGAGTCGAGTCTTAGGCATTACTACTGGAGTTTAGGAATACTGCAATACTAGATTGGAGTGTATGGAGTTTTAACACTTGCTAAGAATCAGATGGAGAACTCTGTCTTCTCCAATGCTACTTTCTTGCATGACCAAAACTTACTTGTAGATTATGGATTTAGTTCGGGAATTATGTTTTGGTCAGTCCTTACACACTTTTTTGTCTCCCAACTTTTTTTGCCCTGTTTTGCATTAGATCAAAATTTACTGAGTCTTGGTTGGGGATTTTGCTGGGGAATTATGTTTTGGTCAGTCCTTTTATAGTTTGATGAGTCTTGGTCATCCAGATAAAGGTGAGTTGGCATATCAATATGTGCGCTATGCACATATAATTTGCAGTTTGCACATTCAAAGTACACACTAACTATCAAAACATGCACAGACACCCACATCAAGTAGTTAGTCGTTCTCAAGTAATTATGATGGATGTGGAAATTGCATGTCTGCCAGTCACTGCAGTTATGGAAAGTTTAGAGTTTAAGTTTATTGTTTTGGTTGGTCATTCTCCTCCCTTTATCGTTAAAATGGATATTAGATTTAGAAGTTATAGCCGTCTCTGAACTCTTGAGTCTCATGAATGTTTAATTTCCAGCCCTTTGTTAGAAGTTTAGAATATTGTTATCTATTTGATTTATGGAGGAGATGGAAATGACTTCTTTGCCATAGTTTACATACTTATGTCTAACTTAGATTTTAGTGGCCTAACTTAGATTTTAGTGGCCTCAGATGGTCTTCTCCATGAATAGGGTTAGGAGACGGTGGGATTGCTTTCATTGTGTAACCTGACTATTGAGTCTCAAAATAAGAGTAAAATATCTAAATATTCTTAAATTTTGATCAAAATTACATGAAAGTTATAGTTCGATCGTTAATCAAATATTAAGATTTCTATTAATTTGTTAATATGATAATATTTTTTTAATAATTTTACCTTTGAATATGTTAAAAATTACAACATTATATAATTTTTTTTAATTTTTTTCTTTCTTTAAAAACAAATTACCTACTTTCTCCAGCCAGATCGGACCGAGTATGGCAGGAGAATCACACTCCCTTAGCGGAGCACCGGAGCTCCCCTCTAAGGGAGCTGTTGTGCTCTCCTTTGGGCGTGATCTGGAGCTCCTCGATATCGAGTAGTGTTAGATTTTATCATGGGGTGACTGGTTGGGGAAAAGAAATATGGTCGATCAGTTAAATTGTTTTAAAAAAATTTGACAAAAAGAGAAAAGGGTATTGTAAATTTTTTTATTAATGGTGTTAAGGCATTTGGATTTGAGTATTTATTTTTCAAATTAATAGATGTTCGTGAATTTTTGTCAAAAGTTAAAGATATCTAAGTATTTTACTTTAAAAGTAAATAGTCTTTTATCTTTCTATTTATGTCAGAGAGCAAATGCTCATTGTGTAACTTGGTTTTTGATTAAGAAACTTGTAATATTATTTTAACATTTTATAATTTAAAATATAAATTCGTCTGCTTTATTAATTTGCGTATATTCATGCACCATCCCCTCCCCCTACCCAAAAAAAAAAACAGGAAAAAAAAAGAAAATAGATATTATTGATAAGTTGGAATTATTTAACCAAGATCAAGCAACAGGACGAGCTGAGGCAGGTGGATTTCTTGCGTGGCCATCCACAGGCCTCAGCTAGCCACCTTAACAGATGTTTACCTCGTGTCTGCTCTGCCTTGACAGTTGACGTTAGCAGTCAATTTCAGTGCTTACGTTCACGCGGTGGTAAGAAGTTGAAAACGAATTGGATTATTACAATTTTACCCTTACCTTTTTTTTGGGTTTCTTTGTTGGGTGTTTCTGAGGGCTGGCTTTAGTTCAGGACGATACAGTTACGGATTTAGCTAGTAACTGGGTCCTGGACTCTATTCTTTTGTCATCGTGATGGTTTTATGGGCTTTTTATGAGCCCACAAAGCCTGTTGGGAGCATATATGGTGGTGCAGAGCCTGCTTAGCAAGTTAATCCCACGAACATGTTACTCAAAGTCCACTTAATCCATTTTCATTTTAAAGCGTGTTTTGTGCAAAAAGTCATCACTTATTTCATCCTTAGCGACTACCATGACATGCGTCCATCAGGCCTTCCCTGGAATTAGGTCCATTAAAAACAAGAGCTAAGAGAAATTGAGTCCAATTCTCAGCTTTGGAGCATATGGCAATGGCATTCTGTTCGGATCTGGTCTATAATTATATGTTTATTATATATGAGCATCCTCAGCCACTTGGCACTGATTTGTGAGTTTCCAACTTTACATGAAAAACCCTTTTTCCTTTTCTTGGTTATGAAAACCATAACTAGAGATGGTTGTGTGAAACTATGTACCAACATTCCCCGTCAGCATGGCGTCGTTGTCACGATGCTACTAGAGCCTAGCTACAAGTTGCAATTCCTTGAAAGTCGCTTTTCCTTACAATTAGAGGTTAAGGGGGAATCACATTGTGAACAATACTTCCTTAAGGGGAAAAAAACGAAAAATCTTCATTATTATCAATGGCTTCTATTTCTTTCCCTACCACCTTTGCTTCTATGTTCCCCCTGATTGGTGTTCATCAGCAAATATATATATATCACAGGTCCATATGCACCAGCCCCTTACATTATTCTGCATGCCTGTTCTCCATATGCTTCTCATTTTTCACGCACTCCCATTGTATTCCACATAAAATCCTAATTCATGAAGATCAGATAAATTTGATTCCTACTCTTCCAAAGGGTAAGGATCAAGCCTCTTATTTAAATCCCTTATATTCCAACAGGATACGCCGGCTGGCTTGGAAAAATTTTATTAAAGTAAGAAAAAGAATTCATGAGGGGTGGGGCAAATGTATTCATAAGATGCGCATCACATCCTCATCTCTCTTCAGTACAATATTTGGGATATTATTATTAGAAACCAATGGCTTGTAGAAGAAAGGTGTACAGGGGCCCTTAAAGGAGACAAAACGGAGAGAAAAGATGGGAACATTGACGAGAAATACTGAATCTTAATTACGCATTTGTGAAGCTATGAGCTGTATAACCAACAAAGGAAAATATAAAGTATACAAACAAACTACAAAAGACATGAACAAAATGGGTAGCAAGAGTGGAGGAGTTCGTCTTTGTGCTAAGATTATCCTTCATGATAAAATTAAAAAATCCAACTGGCGTGTTTCCGTTTATAGCTACATAATATTCCAACTAGGCTTCAAATTAAAGTACTTGAGCTTGAATACTCTAATTAGACGACGAATGGCACACCAAATGCTTTGCTAAACTCTGCTGAACTAAATACCCAAAATTTCTGCCTTTTGAGTAATTGTTATATTTAAAAAAAAAAAACTGAAAATCTTACTTGTAATGTGTCCATCACACATAAAAAGCAAGAATATTGACTCCGGTGGCCTAGCTCTACAATATCTATGTACTATATATAACATACATAAAACAATGAGTAGAGTGATATGATGATGAAATAGTATTACAGAGATTCCATGTGGCCATTGAAGCACAATATGTATAAATATGTCACATTACAAATGAGTAGGGCCATTCCCAATCTCGGTCTAACAGCTAGCTGCTCGTCTGCTAGGCTGCTCCTATTTGTTTATATCTGCAACATGGCCTTCAGAGAAAATCTGATCAACAGCAAATTCATCAAATAATTGACGAAATGAACTAGTCTATTAGCTATAACGAATCTGGATCCGGTGGTTGTAATAACAAGAAGAAAGCAAAACAATATATGTAGTAGGACTTAAAATAAGAGGAATATTTTCACTTGACTATAAGCCATGAAAGGAAGGCCATGCAATAATATCCTGAAATTTTACTCAGTTCATGTCATTTACATACATCTATATTATACCATATACAGATCAGGGGTTAGAACTGCAAAACAAACCCTTGAAAGATCTGAAACTCCAGTTCAATCTAAAAGAAACCATGATAACTTAAAATTGCAGAAAAACAAAATTACAAGCCCAAAAAGGAAGAAACAAGAAATCAAGCCCATCTCTCTCCTCAGCTGGAACTTTGCAAATTCAGCAACCCACTAAAGTTGCTGCTCTCGAACAAGGCCTTTGCAGTCATTTCCCTTTCGAATCTCCAAATGTAATTCAAACCTACCAGCAGCTCGGTAATGGCTGCTTCTGTCTTCTCTTTATTTGCAAAGAATAGAGTTTGCAGAAGAAGAACATTTGTTTTAGGCAGCAAATTCTGCTGCTCAAAGCTCCTTTCACTTTGCCATTTGATCATGTTGTGTGCCAACGGTGATAACCAAGCCAAGATCCTTCCCAAAGCTGTTCTCCATTCTCCGGCAAGCACTGGATCACTCGCTGAGAATCCTACTCCTTTTAGTCTTGCCCTTAGAGACGATCTTATACTGCTTGGAAGCATGGAATAAAGATCATCTCTTGCATCAACGCCAACCAATTGTGGTGACTTGATCATTTTCTCCATAATGATAATTAAATTCGCATAGTGTAAAGCTAAAGCTGCAGCACCTAACGTACTTGGTGGAGGCTTCAGCAGCTTTGAGTTCGACTCGAAAAACCTGACAGCCAAGTCTTTCTTTTCTTCAGGTTTAGAACTCTTCAATGGCCCTGATACAAAATTATAAGCGTTAGGGTTTTCAGTTGGATGGACTGTTGCAGAAGCTGACAGGCATCGAGGTAAAGAAGGTGGATAGCCATGGCCAATCCCGAAAACAAGCTTGATCCTTCCCAAAATAGTGAAAATGGATCTCACAAGCATGGAAACAACCATGTCAAAGCTTCTGTTCCATAAAGATCTCTCTTTTAAATACTTAACCTCTTGTCTTTGCCAGAAAAGCTTTTGCTGTAGATCAATAATCTTTTGCTCTTTGATTGAAGACTCGTACTCTTTACACTGAAAGGACTTTCTCAAACTGTTCTCAATTGTCGCTAACTCCTCCATTTCTTTATACAAAGTCGCCGTAATGGTCACGTACCTGTCCATCTTCTTGTTTTTAGCTTCCACATCTTTGGAACTCAAAACCCAGCCATGACTATCGTGGCCCGAGTTGGCAAACTCATCAAACCACCGATCAAAACATTGAAGATTCGAATCCTGGCATCGCTTGCTTATCCTGGAAATAGATTTCGCTACCAGCCTGACGTTTTCAGCCATTTCTGCATAGGCCAGCCCCAACAGGAAAGACTCATCGTTCGAAACAATTTTGCGGACTCCTTCAAGAGATATCGATTCATCACGAAGACGAATTATGCTCTTGTCTGAAAGAGAATTCCAAAGATGGAGAAGCTTCGACATAAGGCCAGCGATTTCAAAGGATAAAACTCCAACGTTGGCTTTATGCTTTGAAGCTTTTGAGTTGGGTATTGAAGATCTTGCAGTATCCAGGCTGTTGGATATCGTTTTTTTCACTTTTATCAGCCAAGTTTCGAGAGCCATGAATTTGCTTTTGGGCAAAGGAAGAAACAATCAAAGATCAAAGTGAAACGAATGAAAAGCAAAGCCTTGGAGGAAAATTTTAAAAGAGAAATTGGATTGAGAGAGAAATAATTGAAGAGTGGAGTTCACAGAGACAAGGATAATGGAAAGAGAGAAAGCTTGGGAATTTTGCGAGATGTGAGGCTCGTGGGATGTTGAGGCCATTATACAAATAGCGATAGCATTACAAACAGTTTTAATTTTTTTTTTCATTAAAAAAAGGGGGGAAGAGTTAAAGAGGAGTTCCATAACAGTAAGATGCACTCTCAGCGCGTGACCAGTGGGTTAGTGGGAGTTTTTTGTTTGTCTTCTTCTGGTTTAAACCGCAGTGGCTTTAGGAGCGCGTGGAAAAGGATTCATGTTGTCAGATTTATTGTAAAATAAACTGAATTTTGTGGGTTTAATTCGATTTAATCAAATCAAATGATATAATATCTCAGTTTGGTAAAAGAAACTTTTTCTGGTCTGTTTGGAAGCCAAGAAACACTTTTTCTTAGATGCTGTTTTTTTCTACAATGAAGCGAGGCCATATCATTATTGGCCTTTTCCTTTTTGAATTTTATAAGCATCATCTTTTTCTTCTTAGTTGGTTTGTTTTTGTGCCTATTACTAATTGTTGGCCCAACAACTTTATCCCAAGAGTAACACCCAGCAGGCAGTCATCCCCCTTTGATTTGGCAATTCTCATTCAGAAATTATTCTTGCTCATGAGTTGTATATAACTTATTTTGACTCCTTCCCATTGATTTCATGTCCCCTTCCCCCTTAAAAGTGATGGGCTACATTTTTAAAGACACTTCTTTTCAGATTTTTTTTTTTGGTAATCTTAATTGCCTCTAATTTATTTGTTAATTCCTTGATCATTTGCAAAGAATTGCATATGCCATGACTCATCACGAGCATCCCAAGTGAGTACTTATGCATATAAAATAATTAGTAAAAAGAAGAGAGAGTTATCTCCTCTCTTGTCACAGCAGGCAATTGCAATGGGTACGGTAAATGTTGGAAAGACCATCAATTGGACTAGGTCAACAGCCAATCAAATCTATCTATATTATTTTGCAACTTTCCAATTAGGTTAGATATATATCAATGTCATTTGACAATTGCCTACCCTATCTCACAAATTTACTCTATTAAACCATTTTTCCTCCTAATTAATGAAACTCTAAGATTTATTACTTCATTCAGACCATAGGGTTTTCATATTTGTACACTTTATTTTTTCGATTTTAATTAAAAGCTACGAGAATATATGCCTTTTGGCTTTTGCACAGGCATACAGGACAAGAGAAGTTAGTAGTAATAATCTTAAAAGTTTAAGGGCGGAGTGACAGAAGCCTTAGAATTGATATTGTTTAGATTAGCACATGCGATTAATGGCTTGAAATTAAGAGCCTTAACCAAACAAACCACATCTGACCTGGAATTTACAACTCCCAAATTCTTCTCCACTTATAGACAAAGTATGTGTAGCCGAAATATTGCAATAGTGCATAATAGCTTGTTTTCTGTCATATTTCTTTCTTTTTTTTTTCAAATTTATTAATTTTTTTATAATAAATATTTAATTCAATAATAAATATATGTATTTTATGTTAAAAAATTATCTTATATTAATTAATGAAGAAACTGGCGTACATATCCATTGAGAGAAAATTCAAATAAATAATATTGAGATCTCAAAACGTTAAGTTTATTGCTCGAGGCTGGAACTAGCTTTAACACCAATTAATTAATTAATCATGTTTTTATAGTAGTATCAAGCAATGACAAATCACCTAACTAAAGATATAGGCACAAAGGAGAAAGAGGCAAAGCTAGTGGTATTGCGCAGAAAATCTAACTCAACTGTATCGAGGAGAGGTCATGCTTTGAGATTAAGGAAAGGGCAGGCAATTAGGAGAGCAGTGCACACTTGAAGTTGACCAGGACTGAATAAGAGTTGACTAATTGGAAGCAGAGCTCATGATGATGGTGTAAACAACTATGTATTGGTTGGTTGCATACCTCTATGAAATCATAAGCATAAGATTTGTGAAGAAAAATGATAAAAAAAAATTAGCAACATTTGTACATTTTTGGGTGGTGCAAGTATAAAGGGAAAATAAATTATATATATATATATATTTAACAAAAACAAAACCCCACTTACTCATTCACGTCACATGGCTAGTGGGAATAGTTTTTGGGTTGGTGAATTTGTGAGTGTGGGGGTCATCAGTCATCAAATACTCAAGAGGGCTGAGGAGGGGAGAATGAGAGATTTGACAAATGACAGTTCTATAAAATTCGTGTGAGAAGGTTTTTACTTTGATCCTTTCTTTGTTTCTTTTTTGATTTATTTAACCTTTGCCTTTCTTTTGCCTACCAAGGGAAGGGCAGTGAAGGCTATCCTTTGTTTACTTGTCGGAAAATGAATAGGCAACCATCCTACATTTCCAGGCCTTGATAAAAGTGCCTCCCCAAGCCATCACCCCCCCAACAGTCCCAGTTGTTTCTTTTCTTTATTCCCTTTTATCCCTTCTGTCACAATTAACATTCACACTCCCAAGTTGTGTTATATTTCTATTCTCTTTTCCTTCTCACACCTATAACAATGCTCATATTCAAAAGGAAGAGAGCGATGGGTGGGTGCTGCTACAAGAACACTACTACTTTGCATCCCATTGCTTTAATTTGAACTCCTCAAAACCTTTAAAATTCTTTTATGAATTATCATAAAGAAATTCAATAATATTCGTCCATATTTTATGTTAAAATTCAATAATATTCTTTGATTTTTCCGCTACAACCATGTAAAAGAATAGAAAAGAAAAAAAAAGGGAGAAAGATAAACTATATAATATATATAATTATATAGTACTTATATGATTGCCTTTTTGTTAGTCTTTTTGACTTTAATTTTTTGGGTTGGGAAAGATATTGGTGTTGTCCGGAGGCAACGGGATTTGCATTGATTAAAAGAAAATGATCTATGCATGTTTCAGTAGACAGCTCTTCAAGGATTGTTGGGGAGGGAAGCCTCCCCCCATTTTGTTAACATGCTGAAAATGGAGACATTTGTCACACCATTAATGGCTAAGTTCCATCGTTTAGATCCAATAGAAATTAATCAAAGCTTAGGTTTTAAAAAGAATGTTATCCAAACAGCTATTTCGTTATTCTAACCCGGGATTTTGTCCTCGTTACAAGTATAACCATAGTTTTCTGTTAATTATAAGCGTATGGCTTGTAAAGAAAGGCAAAAATATGCTTGGATTGAGATTTATAGATTAAAAAAGAAAGAAAGTTTACAAAGTAGATGGAAGCGACATTGTCTTTGTCTTTTTGGATGAAATGCAATGAACCAAACGCTTCAGTCTCCAAGCTCCAGGAGGATCGTAGATTCATTCACTGTCGATTACGTTTGACCATCAGACAAATGCAACATTTACTTAATATATATTAGTAGACCAAGATCTAGCAGTACAATTCGTGAATTCATTTCAGATCATTGGCTTTTAAATTATTTTTAAAAAATTTAATTTTTTTTATTTTTTTCTATTCAATCAAGTTTTTTTATTTTTATTTCGAATTAAATAAATTTTTATAATTAATTATTATTAATTAAATTTTTTTTTATTTTTTTTCTATTCAATCAAGTTTTTTTATTTTTATTTCGAATTAAATAAATTTTTATAATTAATTATTATTAATTAAAATATCACTTACTTATATTCATATGCACTAACATAACATTGATGTAAAAGATGAAAAATGTCATATGATATTATTATTATGCTAAATCAACATGTCACGTCATTATCAGTTATATTATATTAATATATCATATTATCATCAATCATAATATCTTTAAGATATTATGTTAACATCACATGGTATAAATAATATTTTAATTAAAGAATCATTAATCATAAAAGTTTCTTTAACTCAAAATAAAAGTATAAAAATTTATTTGATTAAAAATAAAATTATAAAAACTTATTTGTCTCAAAATAAAAATATAATAACTTAATTCATAGTTGTAAAAATATAAAAACTTAATTAAATTTTTTTAAATAGTTTAAGAATTTTTTTAGATATTATACCAATAAATTATTTGGTTTCTTGTTTATTTAAACTAATACATTAACTTTAAAACCCAAAATCTAGGAGTTGAATCCAGCTTGAAGATCTCTCTCTCTCTCTCTTTTTCCTTTTTCTCTTAATTGTTCGGTAAAATTACATGATGAAGCTGTAGGGCTTTGGAAAGTTTGTGAAAATGCATTGCACTGGAAATGTGAGCTAAAAAAGGTTGTTTTAAATAAAAAAACAGTAATTGAAAAGCTTTTTGAACCATGCGTGGTAATGGGAGTACATGGGTGGCTAGCATGCCAGCACGCTGGCTAGCTCCGGTGCCGCCACGCGGTCCGGCTGTCACTCAACACGAAATCATGAGTTATAAGGCCAAAGATGCTCAGAAGTTGCGAAGTGGTGATGCCAAAATCCACAAATCATGGTGTGATGCCATCATCCATATTACAAGCGTGGGTGATGATTCCACTTAACGTATAGTCTTCCACTTTCTTCCAAAGTGAAAAAAAAAAACACCCCAAAAAGGGGAGAGGAGCAACATCAATGCGATTGAGACGCCCCTGAAAAGGGGTATGCTTAAGCCAATGCACCAGGTTAATTAAACTAAATCAGTTGGGTCATTGAGGTAAGGTTAACCATGGTTAATGTCTAAAGAAGAGTGGTTTGTTGTTATTATACAAGCACTTTGAAGCACAATTCTACGTTTTTGGGTCAAAGGTAGTGCACTTGATGGAATGCATTCCATGATATATATGCAAACTAAGAAGTCATAAATCTTTCAAGTACAATTATTAAGGTTAGAGAAATTAATTATATACTCTAATTTGAATCTGTGGCGCTATAATTACCCATAAAAAATTTTCATGTAAATCGTTTACAATGCTTGTTGACTTACTGCAAGTTGCGGTTAATAAATAACATAATGACTACATTCTAAGAAAATGCATGGGTCCAAATGTAAACATATTTTGAAGGTATACCATCATGCATGCATTATTGTTTATCCAATTACTTCTTAAATTAGCATTGAAGTATCAATATTTTTGATAAAAATAATATTTATAATTAAGTAAAAATTACAATCACAATCTAAGAATTCTCAATATATACGACATAATCATTACATGCGAGATAAAAAAGCAATAAATAAACTAAACAAAGGATAAACTTACATAAAATTTGATCGAATTCACACATTATAAAGCATGAATTTAAAATTTATAAATTTTAAAATCTTTTAATTGATAATTACCATCTGAGTTTAAATATATGCGTCAAGTGAAAGTAATTGTAAATATATAGCCAATCATCTCAAGTTTATTTTTGAGTTGTGGTGTGCTGAGGAATTTGTCTCTTTGAAGGAAATAATCAAAAATTTTTGGATTAATTTTTCGGTTATAAATATATAAATTAATTAGTGCTTGGGAATCTGCATGGATCGACTTTGGTTCTCGGTGGCCTCCTTTTGAACATTGAATCTGTTAAGAATTTAATGATGCATGAATGCACTTGTTTTCTATACAAAACTTGTAATATGGGAAATAGTCAACCACCTTCATAAGGAAACATCAAGGGACTACATCAACATTTTTGTTGTTTTAGAGTTTAGGCACTACCAAGTATCAACCAATTCGTTTTATTGATTACATAAGTATATATATACCCTGAAAGGGAAATAACTAGTAGATGTGCAATGTTTAGGCAAGAAAAGAATGATCTAGAACTCTTCATAGTGCCTTCTGGAATTATTTTAAAGATTGAAAGAGATTGAAAGGAAAAAGTCCTAACTACTCCACGGCGTTACATTTTCATGCATCGGTATGCATAGTCAACTAGCTGGATGACATTTGACAAGTTCGTTCCCTTTCACCGACAACGAGCTGTGAACATAATCGCACCTTGTTATAGTGCGTGATCACAAATATACAGGAACTGTTTTTCTTACGACTTGTTGCTTGTAAAGAAATTAGCTTTCGAGGAAAATAAAAACTCATCTTACATGTGATCCTGCCTGCATTTTCTAGAGACATTGACCATGCCATTCCTCCCACTTGAAAGGAGCAAAATACCGGAAGCTTAAAGATAAAATCAACAAGGACTGTTGAACTTGTTGGTGGGTCTAAACCCATACCACTCATAGCCAAAATGGAATCCCATCTGATCATCGAAATCAATGGACTAGATATTAATTTGGCTCACCCAACCGGTCGAGTCCACCCGGGTCAGACCATGGCTAGGACCCATTTGAAGACTTTCTTTTAAGGCATAAACGAGGAAGTGAAAGGCTCTCTTTGGCCTCTTGTTGATGGGGGACCTAATTGTAAGTGTGCATTAGTAAGATCCCACTAAGAGTGCTTTTGGAAAATTAGCCTTTAAATTCTGATACAAGAAAACCCCATCACCCTCCAAAAAGAAGGAAAAAAAAAAAAGAAGGGAAAAAGAGAAAACGCATATGATGCAAACAAAATAGAAAATGTTTAGAATAATATTGGTAAGGAGAGTAGACAGAAGAAGAGGTCTCATTGATCAGAAATGAAGGAGCATTGTTCCACTTTTGCAGGACATTCCCTAAAGAAAATGGTCCCATAACGAAACACTTTAGAAACATCTGTTAAGAGATGATGCTCTCTTTCACTCCCCTTTGCCTTGCGCCCTTGCACCTCAATTGATGAACTATGTGCACGTGTGTCATCATCATTGTACGTACGTGGTAGACCGAATTATTTACCCACACGCACGTGCATGAGGCCCAGGCCCATCTTCGTACACGGCAGTAAAATAGTAAAATCTATTTTGTGGCTGGCTCTGGGGAAGATTAAAGTCAAGAGAAGCTGTGGGGTGGGATTGATTGATCTGCCCTAATGGAGGTTGAGCTTTCGAGTCTTTTCTGGCGGAAAAGTCTTAAATTCCATCCTGTTACTAAATCCAAGCAATTAATTATTGTAGGTGCGTTGAGTCATCAGTGGCTAAACTTAATTAAGGTATCATATATAGTAATCATGTGATGATTGAAGTCATACATGTGTTCCACAATTATTTCAGATTCTCTAAGCAAGACCCCGTTTAATAATTACATTATCTGAAAAATGTCTCCCATCATGTCGAACTCTTGGGTCTTCTAATTTTCTTCTTTTTCCTCTTCTTTTTGTTATGCCATCTCCATACAAACAGTTTCAACCTCATTCCTTGCTTTTCAGCTGCAATTGAATGTGCAACTAAAATCCATGCTAACATTGTATACCTTCTTTGTATATATTGAGAGAAAGGAAGATTAGAACTCCACATTTTGAATAAGAGTTACGTGATGTTTGAATTGGACAAAGACTCATAAGTAACAAAGTTTTTGAGTTTTTAGGTACCACTTTTTTTAAAGGCCTTTTTAGGTATCATTTGATCATCCTACTGTTTTGACTAGTCCAACTGATGCGATTCTATTGAACAACTAAAGATCGAGTTGGCTCTGTGGTCATTATAAATTGGGGGAGTTGTTGGATTATTATTAGCTTTTAACGTAAAAATGATGTCTTACCTTTTGGAGTTCAATTCTGCAGATTTGGTAGGCTGTCCATTTATTACCTTCTGTTATGAAATGGGTTTTGGGTAAGAATACTCAATATTAATATTGTCTATTGACACTGGGTGAATCGAGATGTCAAAGAAGCAGTTCGCATGTACATTACAGATAGCTGAACGCACTGTAGCATTTTCTGCATCATGATGTTCTAGCAGATATGATTTCCTCGGTTAGAAAGAGGGGGGAAAAGGAACACCTAGTTAAGCTACAAACGATACAAATCTCCCCACCACCAAAAAGAAGAGGAAATCTCATTATGTCTGCGAGGTTAATACTATTTGTTCAAGTAGGGATGGCCCCATTAATTACATCGGAACACAAAATACACCCTGTTTTCTCTGCTGCAGCTGTAGTCTGCACCCAACGTGATTCCGCCAATTTCTTGGTCAAATTGTTGGACCCAAGAAGCAAATACTGCAACATTTTGACACTGCACGATTCACCTGGAATATAAAAAATATTAAACCTGCTCACAGTGAATCAGTTACAACTGCAACTGCAGTTTATAGCTGAAGTCGCTTCTCGCAAAAGATTCCAGGCTGCCAGCCACCAAAGTGCCAGTGAATGAATAAAATAGTAGTACAGAATTGGAGACTCTACTTAACTCTTCACAATGTCACTCATCAATCCTGTGTTTCATTAGAGTGAACTCTAGCTCTTAAGATACAAGATTCTACTCCATCAAATTTGATGGGCACAGTGACTAAACAACATTTTTTCTCTTTCTCGGGAGCAGACAATTCATGTTTCATAAAATAAAGATATCAACCCTGATCTACAGAATCTTTTGAATGGTGTCATTCTGCAACGGATATAGCCCATCATGCTTTGGGTTCAGTCAATGTTGTTTTAATATTTGCCTTGGTATCTGCTGCATTCACAAGGAACTTGTACCCAGAGTAAGATCATTTAAATTAGAGAGAATTTGGGAACGGGTCGTTCCAATCTGTTGAGCAATATCAAGCTGTTCCTCCAATGAAATCATTTCATAACTACAAAACAGTGTAAGACAGCAGCTCGCAGCAAGGCTAGACACTTTACTCTCATAGCAAGGCTCAGATCAGAGATGTGGGGAATGAGGTACTTTATACATGTTGTCAAAATTAAGTATTCAAAATGAGCTATTGATGTAAAGAATTTAAGCAAATTGTATTGATGATGAATTCTCATGCTTAAGATACAGGTTAAGTATCTAACAAAATGCAACTGAGACTGTTCCAAAGAACATCTCAAGAATTTTGCATGGAAGATTAATTTAAAGAAACAAAGTAAATAATATCTGTTACCAGTTTTCATGAGGAAAATTTTGTCTTGAGTTTCAGTGGAGTGATGCATTCTGATAACATAGGCAAACCAACCAAACACTTGAAAATAAATGCAAATGTTAATGCTTGGGAATGAAGAAAAGTCATAATCCTATTATTCTTCGGTAGCCAGAGACAGAAAGCAGCACAAAGGGCAGGGAAAGAAATGAAAATGCAACAAACTTTTCTCAAACTGGCGCTCAAGTTAATAATTATCAGAAAATGGTACTTTCTGTAGTATTTTTCAGGAACAAAAAGATGTTACTTACTGGCAAAGCTGCTCACAGTCAACTATGCTGTCAGGACCAGGCCTATAAGCCTTTCGATTTGAACGGAACTGGCAAAAAGACCTTGGGTTTAAGCCAGCAACAGGTGGAACTGCATCAACAAGCTTTTTCTGTAGTGATTGCAATCTACAAAATGTGAGTTCATCCAGAGGAGCTATACAGCCAATGCTGCCATCCAGAGTACCAAATAACAAAGCAAATCGATTGGTTTTATCAGAGCCTGCAGTGGCACTGGTTCAATCAGATGAAGTAGCTGCAAGAACTTAGTCACATGATCACCAACATGGAATTCAGCCCTTGAAAAGATGCTTCTGTCCCTTCCAACTTTCAGACATCTTCGGTGCATAATGAAATATCTGAGTGGCACACAGCAAAATCAAAGTTTTCAACAATGATAATCAACAAGAAAAATAAAAAAGGATTGAACATATTAATGGTTCAATAAATAGCTCAAACAGTGTGCAGCCCAATAACAAATTATAAGCAAACCCCAGCTAGATGAAGTTAAGACCTTTCAACTAAAGAAATGGGAGTCAACAAGCACAGTGTCTAGAAGATGCCTAAAATTTTAACAGTAAAGTAATTGAATAACCACATATTCTCATGTTGTATCATCCATGATCTCTTTGTAATTCTTTGTACCAGATCACTAGCTACACCTAAGCCAAATAGCATTAGATAAAGGCGAAGGGAAGGGTTGTTTGAACAAGGTAAAAAGCTCATTATATCAAATATAATTTACGACCGAAAAATAATTACTACAATACACACATATATTTTCATCAATAAAATTGCAGAAAAGATGGCCATACTAACCTGAATATTCTTTTGTTCATGTGAAACCATGAGACTATTGCATCCCCATAATAACAATTACCTCATAATTCCAACAAACATAAATGGAACTATTGCATCCCCATGGAGGGTTATAATCCGACGAATAGGTCTGCGAACATGACCTGCATTAATAAAACAAGGGGAAAAGAATATCTTTTTATAAATAAGAAAATATAGAAAACATTACCCTATCTTTTTATAAATAAGAAAATATAGAAAACATTACCCATTCTTTTACATATGGTTCAAATCACAATAAAAAGCAAAAGGAATAGACCATATACTAAGATTTCAAATTCACATATTGGCACCACTATACCTTAATATATAATAGGAATTAGGAATGCCATATGCACACACTTTAAAGCGAGGATACCCTGGCTTTGGCTGAAGGAAAATTACATGTGGGGGATGGGTTTGGAAGCTAACGGTCAATTAAAGGTAACGCTAAATATGAGCTGATTTTGAAAATTAAATTTTGAAAAAAAAAATAAGGGGACGTCAAAAAATTAAATTTTGAAAAAAAAATAAAGGGGACGCCGAAATCAGAGTACCACAACGCCGGAAACCACTGTACGCGCGGAAACCAGAGTAGCACAAGTTATTATATTTTGTGAAAAATTAGTCAAAAAGAAATGTAGGTTTTCTTTCAAAAAATTTACAAAAAAATGTAAGTAGTAGTAGTTCATGGAACCTGGAGCCTTTGAATAGCTTGTTGGAATGTTAGAACAGAAGCTTTCTGCGGCTCGTCGCTGGCGTTTGTCGACGAATTTTGTTGAACTGAAGAAGTGTTCACCGCAGAGGCGATTGTTCGACTGAACCTGCAGCGGTGGCTCAACGGCTGTGGAGCCTTGAGAAGGATAGCGTTCGGCTTGGCGACGCGCAAGGGAGAGAGATGGGAAGCTTGGGGCTTGAGAAATGTGATGACTAAGGTCCATGGGGAAGGCGAGGATAGGCCTGGCTCTGACAGAAGCAAAATTATGTGCGGAATGGGTTTTGAAGCTAACGGTCAATTAAAGGTGACGCTCAATATGAACTGATTTTAATAATTAAATTTTGAAAAAGAAAAATATGCGGACGCCGGAAACCGGAGTACCACAGTTTAGTTTATTTATTTTCCATAAAATAAATTGAGAGTGATAAATTTTTCATCTGATATTTCAACTCAAAATTGGTTATAGTTTGTTTGGCCTTTAATTTTATCTATTTCCCGTAAAATAAATTGAAAGTGATAATTTTTTTTTGAATTTTTCAACTAAAAATTGATTATAATTTGTTTGGCCTTTAATTTTCTTTGGATTTATATGGATCTTTCTTTTAAATTTTCTTGCAAAAACATTAATAATATATTTATTAGATAATAAAAATTGGTTATAACTTATTTCACTTGTAATTTTCTCTGAATTTTTAAGAATCTTCCTTTTAGATTTTTTTTGGAAAAGATTTAGTAGAATATTTATTAAATAATAAAAATTGTTAAACAAAGTTCAAATGAGGGGCTACGATCAAAACTTAAAATTTAACCTCGTACAATTTTAACTTTAAATTTTTAAAATAAAATTTAAATAAATCGATAAATTTACATACTCACATTCTCAAATCAAAATATATATTTGATGAATAATAAAAACTCATATTTATATAACTAAGACCTATCCCATCTTGTATTGATATAAAATTCGTAACTAATGAAATTATATTTCTTTTCAATTAACTCATTTTAAATACATGTAAAAAATAATAACTATTATTATGCCTTTTAGTTGTTAGTAGGCATTCCTACTTATATGTAAAATAACAAAAATATTTAAAAAATATATCAAAGTCATTAATATTAGATTTAGAAATTACAATTTTTATCTAAATATTTGTTTCTTTTTTATTTTTATGAAAATTAAAATAATTAATCTTAATATATATTATATAAAATTTAAAATTTTTTATATAACTATTTAATGTTTTTTATATGAAAAAGTAAAAAAAATCATAAAAATAAGTACATAATACAGAAAAATGAAAAAAGTAATAAAAATCTAAAAAAAATATTTCCTATTAGTACATTTCAAAACAAGAAAGATGGATAGAGAAAAATAATTGACAGAGTAACATATGAGATCAACATAAATTGTATTTTTTTTTTGAATTTTATAAATTATAATTTATTTAACCATACTTCTTCAAACTTATAGGTGCATAAAAATCTATATTAAATTATGTACTCCATTTTCATTATTTACATAACCATTTTATTCATAGCAATTGGTTAAATGACAATTAATACAAAAGATTGTCCAAGACAGTAGAGTTTTACTCTTCATGATTTCAAGTGTAACGACGTTGTTAGATACTTCTCCATGACCATCTATCAACGTGGTGAGAAATAATAAAGACCATGTATTATCAATGCAAATTGAACCAACCGATCGAGCTTGCCAGTTGAAGCACATTTTGATTTTTACGTGAACAAGGTAAATTTTACAGTAAAATCATGATATTTGACCTTAGTATAAAGTCAAGGAATAATGACCATTCGCTTCATAGGATGAAATTGCAACCTTAGATGAAAAATCAATATTATAGCCAGTCAACACAGTCAATCCGCTTCTACCAAAAACGAAAATTAAAATAACAATTGAAAAAAAATATATTAATTTATTAATGTATAATAATAAAAATAAAAAATAATCTTTTAAAAATCTAAACGTCAATTTATAAGAAAAAATATAAAAAATCATAGAGATGAAATAAATATTGTTAAAATATTAATGTAAATATTTAAGAGTTACCACAAGTCAATTTCAAAAAAATAAATATACTTTTTGTGAAAAATAATTAATTACATTTATATTCTCACACAAATAATATTTAATCATGTACAAATGTTAATTTATAAATATATAGTAATGTTGATAAAATAGTTATAGTGAAAAATAACCCTTCAAAAATCTTGATGTAAATTTATAACAATAAAGTAAAAAATCATAATTTTGAAAAAAGCATTGTTGACATATTAACATAAATGTGTTAAAACTTATTGTAACAAGTCAATATAAACAAAATAGATATATTTTCAGTAAAAATTAATTATTTACATTTATATTCTCTTAACAAATATTATTCAAATGTAAATTTATAAATGTATAATAATAAAGATAAAAATAATTATAATTAAAAAATATTTATAAAATTTTGATGTAAATTTATAAAGATGAACGTAAAAAATCGTAAAAATAAAATAAGCATTGTTGAGATAATGACACTAATTAAAATCTCCACCGGTTCAGGATTTGGTGCATCTAATAAAAAATCTCCATAAAGATTTCAGTCACGGTGCACCTTTCACGAAACATATTTATGAATGTATAAGTGTACAGCATAAATAATTTAAACCTTCAAGTTTCTCGGAGGCTGTACAGAATTGGAGACTGTACTCGACTCTTCACAACATCTGTCATCAGTCCTGTTACATTAGAGTGAACTCTAGCTCTAAGATACAAGATTCTACTCCAAATTTGATAGGTACAGTGGCTAAACAACATTTTTTCTCTTTCTCAGGAGGAAACAAGTCATGTTTCATAAAATATAGATATCAACCCTGATCTACAGAAGCTTTTGGATGGTGTCATTCTGCAACAGGTATAGCCCATCATGATTTAGGTTCAGTCAATGTTGTTTTAATATTTGCCTTAATATCTGCTGCATTCACAAGAAACTTGTACCCAGAGTAAGATCATTTAAATTAGAGAGAATTTGGGAACGGGTCGTTCCAATCTGGTGAGCAATATCAAGCTGTTCCTCCAATGGAAGCATTTCGTAACTACAAAACAGAAATCACAAAAATTTATTTCAGCACTCATGCTACTCTTGGTGCCAACTTCTATTCACTGGCGTCCTTAGCAATGTGAACTATGCAGTTCCCTGTGGGAACCTTGCAATTTCTAGATTCTGTTGCAATTACAGTGTAAGACAGTACCTCACATCAAGGCCAGACACTTTACTCTCATAGCAAGGCTCAGATCAGAGATGTGGGGAATGAGGTATTTTATACATCTTGTGGAAATTAAAGTACTGAAAATGAGCTATTGATGTCAAGAATTTAAGAAAATTGTATTTACGAGGAATTCTCATGCTCAAGATATAGGTTAAGTATCTAACAAAATGCAACTGAGACTCTTCCAAAGAACATCTCACGAATTTTGCATGGAAGATTAATTTAAAGAAACAAAGTAAATAATATCTGTTACTAGTTTTCAGAAGGAAAATTTTGTCTTGAGTATTAGTGGAGTGATGCATTCTTATACACAGTCAGGCAGACCAACCAAAAACTTGAAATAAATGCCAAATGTTATGCTTGGGAAAGAAGAAAAATCACAAACCTATTATTCTTCTGTAGCCAGAGACAGAAAACAGCACAAAGGGCAGGGGAAAGAATACAAAAATGCAACAAACTTTTCTCAAACTAGCACTCAATAAATATCAGAAAATGATACTTGCTGCAATATTTTTCAGAAACAAAAAGATGTTACTTACTGGCAAAGCAGCTCACAGTCAACTATGCTGTCAGGACCAGGCCTATGAGCCTTTCCGTTTGAATGGAACTGGCGAAAAGACCTTGGGTTTAAGCCAGCGACATGTGGAACTGCATCAACAAGCTTTTTCTGTAGTGACTGCAATCTACGAAATGTGAGTTCATCCAGAGGAGCTATACAGCCAATGCTGCCAGCCAGAGTACCAAATAACAAAGCAAATCGATTGGTTTTATCAGAGCCTGCAGTGGCACTGGTTCGATCAGATGAAGTAGAAAGCATCTGGAGCCGCAAGAACTTAGAAACATGGGCACCAACATGGAATTCAGCCCTTGAAAGAAGCTTCTGACCCTTCCAACTTTCAGACATCTTCGGTGCATAATAAAATATCTGTGGCACACAGTAAAATCAAAGTTTTCAACAATGATAACCAACTAGCAATATAAAAAAGGAATGAACATATTAATGGTTCAATAAATAGCTCAAACAGTGAGGAGCCTAATGAAAAATTAGAAAGTAAACCGCAGCTAGATGAAGTTAAGAACTTCAACTAAAGAAACGGGAGTCAACAAGCACAGCGTCTAGAAGATGCCCAGAATTTTAACAGTAAAGTAATTGAATAACCACATATTCTCTCACGTTGTATCATCCATGATTTCTTTGTAATTCTTTGCACCAGATCAGTAGCTACATCTACTCCAAATAGCATTAGATAAAGGGGGAGGGAGGGGGAGTTTGAACAAGGTTAAAAGCTCATTATATCAAAAATATTTTATCACGGAAAAATAACTACTACAATATACACATATATTTACAACAATAAAATTGCAGAAAAAATGGCTGTACTAAACCTGAATATTCTTTTGTTCATCTGACACCATAAGACTTAATGTACTTCCGTCAATCAAAAATTCCGTTGCAAAACAATCAAGGGAGCCAAAATCCTTGGCCAATAAGCTAAGTTGAGCACCCTGTTCCTTCCAACTAAGAAAGTATATGCTCTTGTGAACATCACCAAGAAGGATAAAATTCTTGACCTGCAGTTAGATTTATACATATTAACCAAAAAATGCATTAAAATGAAGCAAAAAAAGGCAAACGGCCGCCAGGAACCATTTGCAGTCTGCAAACAGTTTAAAACTTCATCTATAAAAATTAAAATAAAATAAATAAGATGAACACAACTAAAGTCAGATTGGTATCCAGGCATTTCACCTAAAGCATGCAATAAAGATACTGAAGTTAAGCAACACTTACAATATTTAAGCTCACAACATATAATGGTGGAGCATCATAAAATGCAATGCCATTAAGCTCGCTACCAGTCCAATTATGTAGAATAATTTTAGGACCAGATGCTATCAATAGATGACCTTGAAGGGAGGCTAAAGCAGATATAGCACCTTTTAGTTCCTTTGAATAAACCTCTGACACCTAGAGGATAAAATTCAATTTATAACTTCAATGGAG